AAATGTTGACATTATTCTATATCTATGGCAATATAATAGATTTTAACAAATAAACATTCAAATAATCATTGTATATACAATTATGTCAACGTACATAGAGAAAAAAAAAAAAAAGCTAACTAGAATACTCATCATCTAACACCTAAAGCAAAAATATGATTGTTCAAAACATTGTCAATCGAAATTATTAGATGTCTTCACAACAGTCATCATCGGTGTCGCTCTTACTTGTAAGCTTCATGCCTTCGATGCTAATGACCAATATGTTGATACTAGATGGCCGTAAATTGCTGATTCTTTCCATATACACCGCCATCCTGAAATGGAGTTTATTTAATATGTACACTTTCATTAGTAAATCTAGATTTAACAAAGGTACCAAATTTAAAAAATGTAAAAATAGACAAACTACAAATAGTCATGAAACTTCTTGCTACTGCATGTTAAAGAAAGATTGTAAATAAAGATGAAATTATATTAATTTAAACTGAGCTTATAATGTACTAATATGTGACATGGAGTTTATTTCCTCATTATGTTCGAGTAAAATTTGACTTGCACAAAACTTGGTCAAGATAAAACAAGTGACTAAAGTCCCCTAGTTAATTTTCAGATTTTCTAAATAATCACAGCAGTAGATCTAAACACTCAAAACCATCTTAATTAGTCGGCATCTACGGTCAAAGCCTCGAGGAACGGGTGGCTAAAGCGATCAACCCAAACACTTTGACAACTTAAAGAATCTAGAGAATTCTCAATAAACACAAGCACTTTGACACAAATTAAAGAATCTAGAAAATTCTCCTTAAAACTTAATTAAAAGAGGCTGGAAAAAATGGTTGAAAAAAAAATCTTATAATCATAACTTACCACAGCCTTTGTTTTGGATCCATGACCTATCTTGACCTCTTTAACTGCCTTCTCTTCTCATCACCCTTCCTGCTATTCTAATATATAAAACCAATAACACTAGCAGAATTACCATTGAAAATCATGCCTTGTCTATTATGAGAAAACCAACCTTTGAGATATCATCCATTTTCTCAAGCAATAACTGAGAGTAAAGTTAGATCTGTGTCAACTTCGAGCAGGTCGTGAAGAAAATTAAACGACATCAACAACGTAATCAATACCAAATTTCTGGGAAATAAAAATAAGACAACCTAGCAGAATCATGATGTGTACCCAACAATAGAGAAAGCAAAAAAAATTAGGGCAAAAGACAAACCTATCTTATTTCTCCAATCTCCAAATCGCTTGCGGCAGCCAAACGAAGATCCAGAACATCTGCGAATTAAGCTAGAGAAACAAAGAGTTAAAAAAATCTCCATACAAAAGTGATACACCAACAACAAAAGTGATACACCAACAACACATACTTAGCTTTACCCATCAATTTCATCGAAAGCAACATATAAATGTACAAGATAACGTGATCAGAACCTCATGAGATTGTATCAAAACCTTAAAATATAAATCAAATTGAGTAATGGCTAGCTTGAGGAGTTTAGCCTTGATTCATTCAACAAAAACTAAGTGATTTCATTTCTTAAATATACACAACTTTTGCACTTGATTTAGTTGGCATACTCTATCTAAAGTAGACTAGTTCAATACTATGTAACCAGTAACATTGTGTCAACAATAATCATTTAAGGAGAGTAAAACAACAAGCTATGTTGAAATTTTATTAGCACATATTCTTTACACCATTCTTCATTCATTTTCTATTTCAACCAATCATCTTACCTTTGACACTTTACACGAAAACTACACATAAACACACAATCAGAAAAGCAAAGATTGTGAATTCTTAATCATAATTATGAATAGCAATGAACTTGCCTGGAGCTTTCTATCTTCCAACCATTATCATTAATCCAAAAGCTCTCAAATCATCATTAAGAGATTATATAACAATATGACATGATATTTTTTATTCATGAAGCATAACTTTTCCCTTTCCATTTTTCTTGTTCATTCTGGCTTTCTCTTTCCCTCCTCTTTTTTTTACATGCTAGTATGTCTCAAATGCTCAATATACATTTTTCCCCAAATTAGTGTGTGAAAACTGATCAATTCATATTAGCACTACTCGGATTTTGTTTCATCAATAATACCAACACGAACACAAGCATTGATGGTACCCATGAAATAATAAATAAGAAAATAAAAGTAAATCAGATTTTCCAGAAAAATTGAACAACTAATTATGTAACAATTTAAAATTGACAAAACCCCCAAATAAATTTTCCATCCCTGGAAAAAATAAAGGAGCACTAACAAGAACCTATGATTAAACGTAGAAAGAAACTATGTCATACCTCACGAAGATATCCTTAATCACCTACTTCGATTGTTCTCCGACGTTTCCTTGATAGAAGACGACGAGGGCTTAATAGATCAACTGGCGGATGGGATAGATCTGGTGAGGTTTGGCCACCGCCCTTAACGCAGACGCGCATGCTCACACCGGTTTGGTTTCCTTATTCCTTATGACCAGAGCACGGGACGGATTCGTTCGGATTATAGTGGTTCTTCGTTCTCTGTCTGCAAGTGACCGACGGTAAACCCTAACTAATGAGAATATCGTTCTTACGGCCTGTGTGAGGTTTTTTATTTCTTTTTTTTTTTTTTT